AGTACATCAAAGGCAGGGATAAGGTTTCAGTGAGAGAAGTCTTGGTTTGGTGCTGGCTTCTGTGGAAGGGGTTTTGCAGTAAACAGATTGATTAGCATTTTACAAGCTACACCCTTCTCTATGCTATGCTTGAACTTGAGAGGTGAGCTAGGTAGGATGCCACATAAACCAGGCATTCACAAACTGGTAGATTCCTACTGGGAGTTCCTGAAACCAGTCTTTCCTACCTAATGGCTCCAACAGCGCTCTAGTCCACACACAGTGCATGGATATCTTCTAGCAATTATCTATTTTTTTTAATATCTATTTTTTAATATCTATTTTTTATAATAGCCTTCTTAATGTGTATGAGAAGAAGATATTTACACCCCATCTGTTAACCTACTTTGACGTGGTTTCAGAAAAAATCTACTAATAATATAATACATACATACAGTGAGGTAAAGTTTTAGAACATCTATCTCTTCATCAAAGCAGAGAAGCCTCCCATAAACCATATTTTGACAGTTGCTCTGGAACACAGCCATGATGGGTGAAGGTTAAGGTACAGCGTCTGCTGAAACATCTCCTATGAAGTTAGGTCTTAGTGCTATGTGCAAGGAGTGTTCCCTTTAGGAAAACCTTGCACTCAGGTCCATAGCTCTTCCAGAGAATAGATGCTCCATTCAATACACTTATCACCTCTTCATTTAAAGGTAGATTGATAGTTACATTTTTTAAAAAGCTTAAAATTTTCATATTGAAAATAGAGGTTGTATTAGGGTTCTACAGAGAAGTAGAATCAAAACAATATAGAGAGATTCAGAGACAGGGATACAGGCTAAGCAAATGGTGTGCTGTAGACAGGGAGACAGGCTAAGCAAAAATCTGTAGAGCAGGCTAACAGATTAAAAGTTCAGGAAGAATCAAGTTTGCAGCCGAACATGATGGTGCATGCCTGTAATCCCAGCACCTTGGGAGGTTGAGGCAGGATGATCAGGAGTTTAAGCCAGCCTCAGCAAAAGCAAGGTGCTAAACAACTCAGTGAGACCCTGATTCTAAATTTAAAAAAAAAAAAAAAGAAAGAAAAAGAAAAGAATTGAGTTTGCAGTCTTGAATCCAAATCTGTAAGGTGGTAACTCAGGCAGGGTTTCCATATTGTATTCTCAAGGAAGAATTTTCTTCCCTTTTGGGAAGTCTTTTCTTTTATGGCCTGATTGGATGGGGCCTACCCATGTTATATGGAGAGTAATCTGCTTTAGTCAAAGCCTACTGATTTAAATGTTAATCTCATTTAAAAAGTGATATATGAGCAAACTGCTGGGTACCATTATCTAGCCAAATTGGCACAGATCATTGGCCATGATAGAAGTTTGCACAGTAGGTGACTTTACACTAAAAGTGTAGAGACTCAATATTCAAGACTAGAGATCTTACACCTAGTGTAAGAGTTTATGCAAATTTTAATTTTGAATACTAAAGCTTTTTGCTTTAATTTTCTTTTTAAAAAATGTTGGAAACTTACCATGGGAAGTTTTTAACAAAACAATTTATAGATGACACTTTTAAAAAAACATTCGAAATTTTTTTCTTGGATGATTCTGCCTGTTCTTTCTGCTGCTTTTATTCTTCTTCAAATCAAATAGCATCCATCGTCACAGAATTTTTCATATCATGTGATATTTGCATTATGGATTGTTAGCTTCATGGAGAGTGTTCGCTGGTTTGGTTGGAGGGTAGGGCTTAGGTAGAGCTGGGGGAACTGGGGTGAAGACTTCGGGGAGGTTGGGAGCACAAGGGCAATACTCTGGCAGTTGAAGCACAGGGTTGTTAGTCTCACTCATCTAGGAGAAGCTTTGTCTTCAGCTCCCCAGGGAATCTTCTCAATACCTAGAGAGAGATGAGAGATGGAGTCTTGGATCTTCCTAGGGCAGGAAGATGAAACTGAGAGGCCTTCACTAAGTCAGGACTCTTAAACGGCTGCTCCCCTTCCAGTAAAGACTAGAAATAAATCCTCCCCAGTAGAAAAATACAAAAAGGAGGAAAACATACCTCTTTGTCCTTTTACCAATGGACCAATACCAGACAGCCCCAAATAATGTGTTCTTCTTTGTTTGACAGTTAATCACCTTCTGTTGCCTCTTCAAAGAAAATAAAAATCAAGACATAATATTTATATGCTATTTAGTGTTTCTTATGATGATCAACATGTGTTGCTCATGATGACTACAGTGACTTCCTCAAAGCAAATTAAAAAAAACTGCCTTTCTTTGATATCAATTCTCTAATGCTGGAGAATTTGAGTGACAGTTAACAGTCGCCATCCGGTGCATGGTAAGCATCCTGGTCCCTAGTTATCTTGTCCTTTAGTTTAAACAATCCCTTTTCCTCTGTATGTGTTTGTAGAGCTAATTTGCCATTTATTAGAAATGCATGCTGTGCTGAAGTGATGTATATGCATTATCCAATTAAATTTTTAAAATATTCTTGCAAGGTAGATACTATGCATTCATTTTAGATACAAGAAAACTTAGATTCAAAGAACACATTGCTTAAAGCTAGAAAGCTGTGGATTTGGATTTAAGTTTAAAGTGCTTGATTTTTCTCCTGTGCACTATGGTCTTTTACATAGCCTATGCAGAAAACAAGATCTGCTCAATCTTTTCCATGTCCTAAATGGTGTGCTGGAGTTGGCTTGTGGGAACCAATTATGAGTACCTTTCTCAACTCCACATTTGGTGATGTCATACTAGATCTTGCAATGAGCCATGATGGAAATATTTATAACAGGAAAATTAGCCAATGCTATAAATTAATGCCTTTCAGAGAGCTAATTGTTAAACATCTACCAGCACACCACTCAATGCCTTCAAACTATCGCCATCTCTTCTCTTTCTTAGTTCTGGTTTGCACACTTTAGAATTAGTTATATGGTCCTATAAACTTCACATCCATAAATATTATCCACACCAACAATCTATCATATTAATGAGCAATACTTTAATCTCCAAGGTCCAAGATGCTGTAAAATAGAACTGGATTTTAAGACTCTGAGAACAGGATGCAACAAAGGTGCTAAATCTACCAGCAGGGGGAACCCCATTTCCAAGCATATAGGCACTTGCCTTCTCTGGAATTCAACAGTGATTCAAACGACAAAATACAGAACCTGGCTGTGATAAAATTATTCAGAAACGCAAACATACATTAGAAATGGAGACTATTCAAATAAGTTATATTGACAGAACTTATCTTACCAGATTCTGCATTGCCTACAATACCGGAAATAAAGAAGCATCTTGTTGGGGCTGGGATTGTGGCTCAGTGGTAGGGCACTCGCCTAGCATGCACAGGGCCCTGTGTTTGATCCTCAGCACCACATAAAAATAAATGAATGGAATAAAGGTATTGTGTCCAACTACAACTAAAAAAATAAATATTTTTTTTTAAAAAAGAAGCATCTTGTTAAAAAAAAAAAGGGAGAAGAAGAGAAAGGAAAAAAACTAGTAGGAACATAAAATGAAGAACTCAGATTTTTTTTTTTTAAAAAGGTCAGCTTTTCTAGAAAGAAAACTTGAAGTGCTATGCATTTTGTATTCCCTGATCAAAGTATTTTAGGATAATATAAACTATGTAATTTTCAGAAAGTGTATTTACATTTTCAGGGTTCTTAAAAATCCCCATTGATAATATATGAATATAATACAACTGTAATTTAAAAGTTGATTTGTAAAATCTTGGAAATATTATTCTTAATTTTCTTTAAAGCTAACGGAGTAGGAAGGCATCTAAAATACTGAAAAATGTGCTGGGCATGGTAGCACACGCCTGTAATCCCAGCAACTCAGGAGGCCGAGGCAGGAGTATCTCAAGTTCAAAGCCAGCCTCAGCAACTCAGAAAGGCCCTAAGCAAATTAGTGAGGCCTTGTCTCGATAAAAAAATTAAAAAGGGTTGGGGATGTGGCTTAGTGGTTAAGCAATCCTGGGTTCAATTCCCAGTACCAAAAATAAAATACTGAAAAATGGGAGTAATTTTTGGAAGCCAGAACTTGAACTTTCATATTTTGCATTGTTTTCTATACCAACATAATTAAAGCATGTGACACATGTGCTAAAAAATACAGATGGAAACAATAGATGAGCTCATGCAGACCTAAGTATTTGGATTCCATTAACATGACATACTGGCATGTCAAATTGGTGGGAAAATCACACATAATTATTCAATAAATGATGCTGGGTTAATTATTTGGGGAGAAAAGTCGTGTACTTCTTACTACGTTCTAAAAAATAAAGTGCAGAAGGACTAAAGATTTAAGAGCAATACTTACATTTAAATTTGTGAAATATATTAAATGCAATACATACACGCACAAATGTGTGCATATGTGTGTGTTTGTTTTATGCACAGATATATAAATTTCTTTACATATGTGCACATTTCATACAATGGGATTATTTGTGATCAGCAGGCTTCTATTAGCACACAAAGAAAGTTCTGGCCCAGCACTCTGTAAATCAGCACTCTACCTCTCATTCCCCATCCACTGTCTCTGTTCTCCCTGAAGGATGGTCTCCCATTCACCACAAATGTGCTTTCTCCAGCAAGGAAGATAGACTGCTGTAAAAATGTCTGTCAGCAATTTTAAGCATACCGATTTAAGAGGAAACAGAACTTCTTTCCCCAAGCCTCAGTAGACAAAATCTGTGATTTTTGTTTCCTTTTCTTTTATAATCATGAAAAAAAAAAATTCTTGAACATTGATGAAAGTAGAGAAATTGGTATAAAAACCCCCATGTACCAATCATCCTGTTAAAACATGGACAGTTTTATTTGTCTACTCTGAAATACCCTCCCAAAGTCCATGCATTACAGACTTGGTCTCAGGGTGCTCTTAGGAGGCGATGGAAACTTGAAGAGGTGGGGTGGGGCTTAGTGGGATGTCTTTAGGACACTGGGAGTGTTGTCTCAAAGAGGATTATGGGATCACAGCCCTCTCCTCACTCTCCGATTTCTGGCTATGAGGTGAGTGGTTTTGTTCCACCATCTGCTCCTTGTCATTGCCCTCCAGCACCATCACCAGAGGCCTAAAAACAATTGGTCCACAAATCATAGACCAGAGCCTCCAAAACTGTGAGCCAATGTAATAAACCTTTTCTCTTTATACGTTGATTATCTCAAGTATTTGTTATAGCGATGGAAAGCTAACTAATACATCTATTCTTACCTTCTCAAATTATTTTTAATATATTGATTCAAATATCAGATTTCAAATGAACTCATCCATAAATATTTCAGTATATATATCTAAAGGACACAGTCAATATTAGCATGCCCAATCCATTTGTTTTGACTTTCTATTATCATTAAATATCCAATCAGCATTTTATTTTCCCCAAATATAAATGTTTTGTGGCTATTCTCAACCTGAAATAAGAAATGGAGAGAAATACTCCAAAATAATGACTTATTTGAAGAATGAACGTTGCAATGGGAATAAGTGCACCACAGTAAACAATGTGCATATTCAGGGAAGCAAAGGGAGACAAAAATAAAAGGAGGAGGATTACATAAGCTATTTTGAAGTGATTACCTTTGGCTACAAGAATCAGTAACTTGATTGAACAGCCCAAGATTGAATAGGCAGTTGTTCAGCAGATGTCAGCACACTAATATTTTCTGTGTAAGGCTGAGCTGGCCTTTGTACAAGTTTATGGTTGTGACTGAGTTTCTCGAAATAGTTCTTGTTATCAGAAAGAAGTGCATAAGATTCCCTTATTCATCACTATCTGGCTGTATTTTTAAATTTTTGTTAAGGTTTGACATAAGTGACTCCTGCAACAATTTTAACCATTGCCATTGTGAGGAAGGATATACCCCTCCTGACTGTGCAAAGAAGGCTGGGGGATTTGGAAGTGTTGATGATGGACATGAAATTAAAATGGGTTGGTGTCCTTAATACTTTGTTTGAAGTTAGATTACACAGATAACCTTATGTCAACAGATATGGCTTTATTTTATTTGTTAGACTTTTTAAAATCTGAAATTGTAGGTTTGTAATGTTCTTTCTGTCTTAGCACTGACTTTGTTTATGAATAAAAAAGTGTACCTAATATTAGGCAATTTTAAAAGTAGAAATTCCATTGCATATACTTTGACCAGTTAATTCAAGTTTTTCACTTTTAATTGTCTCAGATATTCCTAGTTTCAAATGTTTCACTAGTCATGGTTATAATAATATTCCTGGGATTCAGGCTGTCTTTTTTTTCCTATTGACTTGATACTTGGTTGTCTTTCTCCTGCCATGTGACTCCAAAGTAGTCTTATGAAATTTCTTCTTTTGCATTTCACCCTTGCTGTACCTGAGTAGTATTTTGAGATAAAAAAAAAGATGAGACTGCAAAAAACTAGGGGACATCCCCTGGTTCTACAAGGTATGTCAAACTCATTCAAATTAACTGGGAACATTGGTGAGCTGTCCATCCTATCCCCCTTCCTTTTGGGACTTTATAAGAAAATCATGCAAGTCCTAGTCAGACTTCTCTGTAGTTGGTTGTTATAAGATGATTAACTTTTTAGAGAGATGATATATAGCCATATCCAACTATGTATCAGGCTAAAAGAAAAGCTAAGATGTTACGTATGACTGTGTGTGTGTGTGTGTATCTGTGTGTGTGTGTGTATATATATATATATATATATATATATATATATATATATTATTTTCACAAAAAAGTAAAAAGTAGATATATAAATGATTATATATTATTCTATATTGCTTACATTTGTTGTTTAAAGCATAATAGGACTAGCGAACAGTATTAGTGATAATTGTTTATGACAAATCTTATTGTTGAGAAAGATATAGTAGCATTTTATAATGAGAAAAAGAAAGTCCTCCAATGTTGCGATTTAACTTTAATAAACTCTTCACTGGGTCCATTATGCTGGCTATGTTCTTGAGGCACACAAATATAAGACTTTAAAAACATAAATAAATAGGAATAATTAGACATTCCTTATATTAAATAAAAATAACTTTTTGTTCCATGATGTAGTCATATATTTTTATCCTTTCTGTTTTATTTTCCAATATACTTCTGTGAATTGCTTTTAGCTTTTAAGACACCCTCATTTTTATGTATTAGCAAAACTGAATAAACTTAACAGTAAAATTTATTTTGACTTGCAACTCTACTCCATATCAAGCCATTATTATTTTGATTGCTGGTGTCAGCACAGCAAAGTGCTTTCAAAGCAAGTGAGGTCATCAAGTAAAATATCTTTGTAATGAAAGTATTGTAGCTTGGATTTCTTGGGATTTTATTTGACAGAGCAGCAGGGTCAAGATTTATTTTTCAGGTCTACAAAACATGTCCACTTACTTTGTATCTACAGGCTTGTACTGGAAGAAGGGCTATTTGTCAGTCAGGTCTTTTGCATACTTCATTTTCTAGGTTATCCATGTCTAAAATGCTTGTCACTTTTAAACACTCCCAAAGTACCTTAGTGTTATAGAGCCACATGAGCATACAGTAAGCACTGATAAAATTCAACCTCTCTTTGTCCAGCCTCCTCACCCTACCACATTCTTACCAACCTCTACTATTCATTATTCTATATTAAGTTTGACTTTTTTTTTAAGCTTCCACATATGAGGGAGAACATGTCATACTTGCCTTTCCACATCTGGCTTATTTCACTTAGCATAATCTTTTTGAAAAAAGAGTGGATAAATTTCTGTTTTATTGTATCTTCCCCTTTTCTGTTTTCATCCTCCATGTTATTAAAAATTAGAGAAGAATAACCTTATATTTCCACATTTTAAAATTAAGGATTTATGGGAGGCTCATATGTTAACATACGTTCTAAGTCTGGCAGCAATACTAGTTATCTTGTGTGTGTGTGTGTGTGTATATATATATATATATATATATATATATATATATATATATATATATCTACAGAAGTTATCTTCTCTCATTTTATAAATAAAAAGAATCATTAGGGGCTGGGTTGTGGCTCAGAGGTAATATGCTCATCTACCATGCATGAGACACTGGGTTAAATCCTCAGCACCACATAAAAATAAAATAAAGATATCATGTTCATCTCTGTGTGGGCTCTCTCTCATCTAGTGAGGAGGTCCACGGAACAGGGTAGAGGGGAGTGTGGCTGCAGAAATTTCTGCTACCTTGAGCAAATACAAAGTACACTTTGCTCTTCTACATGCATACTTAGCTGACAGTAGAAAATCAAATTATTATAACTTCCATTTAGTCTATAAACATCTTATGGGAAAAGATCTCATCTGTTCAATATATTGCACACTCATACACTTCACTAAAGGGAGTATGATTTACTTACCTGTGATATAGAAGATTTCATAATAAAAGTTTTTGGTCACTTCTATTGCAAAAGCATTTAATAGTCTTTAAAAATATTTTTTAGTTATAGGTATGTGGGGACAAGTGCATGGATTACTACATACACGGAATACGTTAAGGGCCTCTGAATGGCAAACCACTCCTTCTTGTTAGGCATGTGAGCAGAAAATGCCTTACCCTGTAGACACAGCCCTGGGAGTGAGGCTTCATGTTGCACTCCCTGTGCTTGTTTCACAGCCCACTTTTCAATTGGTTGTGGCAAGGACAGTTGGCAGAAATTGCATTGGTGGTTGCCTGTAATCTGCTTAGCTACTGCCTGAGTATATATACGTGGTAACTGTGCAATAAAATTAGACCTGCTTCCTGCTTGGTCTCTGGAGGTCTTGCTTTGTGACTCTGCAGCCACACTCTCCTCTACCCTGTCCTGTGAACCTCCTCGCTAGATGAGAGAGAGCCCACGCAGGTCTCTAAATAAAATACAAAATTATTTCATTGAACGGATTGCTCATTCTTTTGGTTTGGACATCTATACCTTCCTCTATCCCAATAACTCTTAAATTTGGTCTTTTTATGGTATCCCAAATTTCTTGGATGTTCTGCTCATGGTTTCTTATAAGCCTTTCTGAGTTGTCTAGGCTCTTTTCAAGATGATATATTTTGTCTTCGTGGTCTGATGTTCTGATTTCTAATTGTTCTACTCTACTGGTGATACTCTAATTTGAGTTTTTAATTTGGTTTATAATTTCCTTCATTCCAGGATTTCTTTTCTTTCTTTTTTTTTTTTTTTTTTTTGCTGTTGTTTTTGTATAACCTCTATCTCCCTGTAGAGTTGCTCTTTTGCTTCTTGGATTTGTTGATGTAATTCATTCTTGAAGTGATCTTTCATTATCTGCATTTGCTGTCTAAGGTCTTCTTTAAGACTCCATAACATCTGAAGCATGCATATCTTGAAGTCTTTTTTTGACAATCTCTCTGCTGTGGCTAGCAACTCCTGTAATGTTGAGTTGTCCTGCACTGTTTGTGTTCCTTTTTTCCTTGTTTTTTCATGATGCTCATGTTTCTTTCCAGCTCTGAATGCTGTGTTATTATTTTCTCCTGTAAATTTGTTTTGCTTTTGTATAACTCCGAGATCTCTCCTTTGTGATGGGAGACAATGTCTAGAGATGTTGGGTTCAATTATAATTTAAAGGAAATTCATTAGTTTCATAAAAGACATACAGATTCTGATGGTGTATAGAGAACTGAGGTTTGGTCTTAGGACTTTATGTTTAGGTGGAAAGATGTGAGGATATGGGGGTTAGTATATCTTAGCTACTTTGGAGAAGAGTTCTACTGAAGAGGGACATTAACAGGAGAATAGATAGGAGTATTTTGGGGTAGCTAAGTACTTAGGAGGACTATAGGAAGCCTAGAAACATTCACCTATTTGCGTTTAGTAAATTACATGTAGTAGAAGAATGCTTGGGAGGCTGGGAGGAGAAGAGAGGGAGAAAGAAGAGTATACTTATAAAGAAGAAGAAAGAGAGAAAAGAAAAGGAAAAAAGAAAGAAAAAAAAGAAGAAAGAAGAAAAAAAATATATATATATATATAAAGGGGGGGGGGGAGAATGCATTCTTAGAGTTCTATTTTCTTCTCTTCCAGTAGGTGGTGTCGTGCTTTCCAGGCTAAGTCTCTTCCCTCAGGATGTAGAAAGTAATCCATGTGGGGTGGCTCTCTCTCCCCTGCTGGGTGTCTCCCCAACCTGGTCTCTTTGGGTTGCTCCTGGTTTCTATCCCCCTCACTTCTCCTACCCGCCAGGCCCCAGTTACCGGTAGTCCTCTCCACATCTCACACCCTGGGGGCATGGCGGCGCAGGTCTCGAGGATGCTCACTCCCTTCCCGATGCCATGTCTAGGATATTTGACCTTTTATAACACATGCACACACATTTAATTGTGGCAGACCATACATAACAAATTTTATGATCTAAATGTGTTTCAGTGTGTAAACTTCATTGTACATTCTTGTTGTACATCATCATGCAACCATCATCTCTCTTTAGAGCTTTTGTCAAAATCTTGTAAAGATGATACATTATGTCAATTATGTATTATTCCCCAGACCCTGGAAATGGGCATTCTACTTTATCTATGAATTTGGCTACTCACATAATTGGAAATATACAGCATTTGTGTTTTAGTGATTGATTTATTTCACTTAGCATAATGTCCTCAAGGTAGCTTATGTCAGAACTTCATTCCTTTTGAAGGCTGAATAACTTTCTATTGTGAATATATACCATATTTTATTTATTTATCATATATTGATGGGTTGCTTTCACCTTTTGCCTGTTCATCCATAATATTATATTCAATGCTCTTCAAATTTATAAGGATATATTCTTCTTACATGAAAATTATAGTCAGTCTATCCCAGAAGACTCCCAAATCTTAACCTATTCCAGCATTAATTGCAAGTCCAAAATCTCATCTGAATGTAGTTTACGTCAGGTATGAGTGAGAGTTATGATTCATCCTGAGTCGAAATTCCTCTAGAGTTATGAATTTGTGAAGTCAAACAAGTTAAATGCTTCCAAAGTACAAGGGTGAGATAGGAACAGGAGATGCATTTCAAAGGGGAGAAATTGGAAAGAAGGAAGTGGTACTAGGTCACAAGAAAGTCCAAAATCTAGCAAGGCAAGTTGCGTTGGATCTTATGGCTTCTCAAATAATTCCATTTTGGTTGCTATTCTTCTCTCCAGGTTCACTAGCATGGCAATGTCACCTTCACCATCCAAGGTGGTAGCCCTAACCCCTTCTTTTGGTGCTTATTAAACTACTTCATCCTTTACCCATTTCCAGTTCCAAAGTCATTTCCACATTTTTAGGCATTTGTTAGAATAGCAGCCTACTTCCCAGTACCAAAATCTGTACTACTATCAAGGTTTCTTCAGAGAAACAGAACAAATATGAAAATGGCTCAACACCATTATGGAAGCTGACAAATGGCAAGACTTTCAAGGTGAATTGACAAACTGGAAAATAATTTAGTAAATGTTTGCAAATATTATATAATCTAAGAAAACATTATGTAGTGTAAAAATTGAGCAATCAAAAACATCAGTAAAATATTCCCAACAGCACATTTATATACTTAGTTCATTTCTTGTTTTTTATTTTATTCACAGTCAATATGAATGAGGTGTTTGAGGTTTGGGAATAATGTTGATAATAATGCCTTCTCCATTGTCTCATTTGGTTATTGAAATCTCTGACCTAATTTCAAATTGATATTTTCTGTTCTAGCTGGAAAATCTGCAGATAGAGGTCCTGGTAGTTCACAAAAACAATACTTTCAAGTCAGTTTGTACGTTTCCGTACCTCTGCTTATCATTACTATTGCCCTTTTAATTAATCAGGATAAAATAAGAAAGCAATGCTTCAGAGAGGAAAGTGAAGCTGACAGGTATGTACTTGTTGTATATATTTACTCTTATAACAGTAAACAAATTGAGAAAATAGTATTTGTGTTTTATTAGAAATGACTATGACTATAGGTAAGGCAACATAAGGAGAGACCTGGAGACACATTCAAATTGGTTTGATGTCCATTGTGTGTTTTCCAGTATTGTTCAACCCTAGAATCATTTAGTTGACTACCAGTATCCCTGTAGGAGGAAACATGGCTGCCGAGAATATCTTAGAAGGTACATGTAGACTTTTGATCCTGTTAAAACAGCCATATTGCCCATAGGCTTTAAAGAACAGGTGACACTGCATTTCAAGGGAACTTGCTAACAATAGTTTTATTAAGCATGGCTTCTCAGGTCAGTCATCAACACGAAATCTGTATTACAACACAATCTCTTTCTGAATTAGAGATAAGATCTTTGAACCTGCTTCCATGATATTTATTACAGTGTCAATTCTTAACTAGAAATCACATGTATGGCTGTTAATATTAGATTCAGAGTCAGAAAGCAGTATTGTAGGTCATCTGAAATATAACTCTTAGCTTTGGAAAACTTGTTCACAAATTCTAAATCTTGAATGTAAAACTGATATCTTGAGCAAGTGATTTAATTTTTATGTACTTCAAACTACTCTGTATAACTAACTCCCTAGAGTATAAGATGATAATGGCTTTCTAATGTATCAAACTTTTGGATTCATCAACTGAGTAAGTGAAATCACCATATTAACTATAAAGAATCACACACATTTTAGTATATTTAATATTGAGTTTCCTTACATAATTTGCAGGATTTTGCCATATGGAGTACCATATAATGTTTTGATTAATTGATTTTTTTTTAGTGCTACTTAACAGTTTTGGCTTAATTTGATCTGAAGAATTAGAAATACCATAGAGTACAGGGGCCTTCCTCTACAGATGGGCTTATGGCATAAATGCTTGAATAAGTTCACATTGAAGTGAAAAGAGCCAATCAGCAAAGCAAGGTGCCTGATAGCATTCACTTCAATAATGAGATTGTGCCTGTTGTTTTATGTTGGAAAAAGACATGTTACATATTTGATATTGTTTGCTTGAAGAACAATCTTTAAAAGAACTTAAAATTTTCTCCACTTTTAAATAAATTTATTGATTTCATAGATCTATGGCAGAAGAAAACACTACCACTAGCAGCATCAAGTCATCCCCCACTGAAAAGTGAGTATGGAACAATGTAATAAATCACCTTGCAACCTATGTTTTGATCATTGTCTAGGACCACTTAAAATGGTTACTTTAAAAACAATTATATTTATTCATAATATTCTTTGTTATTCTCACTAGAGTTTATTTTATAATTATAAGCAATGAAACTTGGTTTCTTAATTTTTCAATCTCCCCTCCCTGTCCTATCCTGAAGGAAGGGTGTTTTGCACTCACCCTAACATTTATGGGAATATATATTAATTCAATGATATCATTAAAGATCTGGATGCTATAATTTTAAATTTTCTTACAAAGTTGATATTTGGGCATGAATCAGGACACAAAAGCCAAGTCAAATTAAGCCAACCCTTGCATAATCATTTTAACTTATATTTTGATTAATTAAATAAATCACAACAGCAAACTCATCATTCATGGAAAAGTGTATGTAATATGCTCCACTCACTCCAATGGGATGTACTACAAAGTCATGTGGCAAATAAGACACATAAATAATGACATATTTGGATATTAGTAAAGAAATGGAAAAGTAATTTAAATGATTACATCCTCCAAATATTTAAGGAACAAACTATGTCATTCTTATACATTCTGATGTAGAGAATATGGGGGGGGGTATTTAAAAAAGCAAACCTAATCATTTTTATAGATGAATAAGAATTATATGAAAATCCATATGTAGTAGAATGAAATTTAACCCATATCTCTTACCCTGAACAAAACTCAAAAATGGATCAAAGACCTAGGAATTAGACCAGAGATCCAAAGGAATAAAGCCAAAGGAAAAAAAGGACAAAAGAGCTGCACACAGAGACAAACATTAACAAAAGGCACCATTATGTCCTTATGTAAAATAATTCACTTAAATGAACATAGATTAAATTACCCAATCAAAAGGAATGAATGTAACAAAAGAAAGAAAGAAAAACAAGATCCAAATAAACTCCAAAATACTCACTTTACAGTTAAAGGCTCTCGTAGACTCAAAATGAAGGGATGGACAAAACTATGTGAGTGGCACCAAAAGGAGCATAGAGACAGCAGTTTCCAGTTTCTGGGTATGCATCTGAGTAGAGCAGCACTCCATATGCTCACACTCATAACTGTATTTGTACTCTATCCTCCTGCAATATCCCTTGATGCCCTCTACTGAGATGATGCTTAAAGAGATTCCATTAAAAATTGCAGAACACATATATAAAGGTGAATTTCAATCTGGGATGCACTAGGTAAGCTAATGGGTAAACCTATGATTCAGAAATCCCTCTGTCTTCAAAAGCAATGAGTGATTTTTTAATTGAAAGTATAATAATGCTTATTGTAGATTTATTCATAATGTGCAAAAGTTTTCAACAGAAGAATGAATATATAAATCCTGCCACATTTATCTAATGGAATACTGTACTGTAAGTAAAACATACAAACATTATTTAGGTATAGCAACCAAGATAAATTTCAATGACATAGTATGGAAAGAAGCCAGAATCAAGAAGGGATTATTCATGTTATATAAAAAATGATTCAAGACAAAACTAATCTCTAGATAGAATAAGGGGCACTTTTAGGTATAAATGGTACCTAATGGTATAGTGAAGTATATTTCTGAAGTACTAATAACAAATTATATTTAATCCAACTTGTGGTTTCATTTATGTATACAACTGTGAAATTGAACTGAACATTTAGGATTTTGTATACTTTAGTAGTTGTAAGTATTTCATTTTGAATAATATGTTATACCAAATACCTGGAAACATCAAATATCTAGAAATCTATGGAGGTATGTTCAGCACATATGCACATCGAAAGACATGCAATGTGAAGTAGCATTAAAGAAAAATAATTAGTGGAATATGCTATTTTTATAAATTGAAAGACTAACATTTTAAGCTTAATTAATTATGACAAAAGAGAGATTTCAGTTTGAAAAGTATGATTTTAGTATGTGGTTGGTTGAAAATTTTCACTGAAAAAAATTCTTGACTACTATCTGAAAATCTTTACACACACACACACACACACACACACAAACACACAATGCAACACAACTTCAAATATGTGCCCCCCCAAAACATTATAATTTTATTTTAGATATAAATGTGAAAAATAAAATAAGAAAATATCTAAAATAAAAATTTGGAAATATCAAATATCATTTTTACGTTTAGTAAGACACAAACAATATTAACCATAAAGAAAACCCACGGATTTGTTGAAATTAGGAGTTTCTAGTCATTAAAACATATTGCTATGAAAGTGAAAACGTTATCCACAGGATTGGAAGACATACTTGTATTCAACAAATGTATATTTGTTCACATTATGTATAAATGGTATGCAAAAAAGAACTCCTACAAAAGAATGGGTAAAAGAAAGGTATACTGATTTTAAAAATATAGGTAAAATACTTCAATATGTACTACAAAAGAGACAGAATTTGATTGAGCAATGCACATACTAAAATGTTCTGAACCTCAATATTCAGGTGGAAGACACAAATTAAAAATACAATATGTTACTACCATGATATCTAATATTATAAAAATTATCTAATATTTTAACAAAAACCATATAAGAACTGAAAATTTTATATACCCTTGAAGAGAGCATAAATGTGCAAAAGCAATTTGTGAAAGTTTCAGAACTGTTTACAGTTCAGCCAATGCATAATCCACCAGATCCCATTAATTAGTGTGTACCATTAATGTGTGTGTGTATGTATGTATGTATATGTATGTATGTGTGTGTATATATATATATTCACACTGAGGGAGAGTATTCATAGCAGAACTAATTGTGATACCAAACTACTAGAAACAATCCATCTTTAAGTTTTTACTCTATTCTTTCCCCAAATCAATAATGTTCATATGGTGAAATATTTAATGTAAACCCAAATGTTTGTTTTTTTTTTTTTTGAGACATAGACAAGAAGAATTGGGAAAAGATTCTGAAATTCATGTGCAAGAAGAATGTATGGTAGCCAGGCAAATACCTTCTTATTTTCAAAAAGTATTTTTTATTTGAATGTACTATGGAATACATACTAAAATATCTAAGAAACCTTGAGAGATGTGAGAATTAAAGTTAAATTCTCATAATCATATTACCCAAAGAGGATGTATGATAACAACTTATATGTGCATCTTCTTAAATGTTTTTCTAAGTAAAATATTAGAAGACCTTACATATACTTTTGTTCAAGAATATTATGGACAACTTTCTTTTTCTTAAAACATGGATGTCTATCACCACTTTGTAACATAAAAATAATTTATTTTAAAAGTCTACTGTTATGAATATTTAGGCTATTACCAGTTTTTAGTTATTACAAACATCCTATAAAAATACCTTTGCATGGATGTAAACATCTTGGAACAACTGTCCAGTTAGGTCCTGGAATAAATTCTCAGAAAAGAGATTGATCAAAGAATGTTTACTTTACCAGCTAATTTGTGTCAAGTTATAACTTTCCTGAGTTATTAGTTTTTAGTCAACTTGACATGTGAGTGGTAGATTTCCTGAGCCTTAGCATATCTTAAAATTTACTTTCTTTTACTATTCTATAGAATTTTACTTGTAATTTTCCACTGTGATATTAAGGAATGAGGTATAAAAAGTATGGAAATAGAAGTAGGAACCATATAATATGATCATATAGAATTAAAGAGCTTTGAAGACTACATTTAACATGAGGGATGCTTCACATATTTTAACATTATCCAATTTCCATTGATTTTTATGCTATTTAAATTAAGATTTTAGATCTAAGTTACTGTTAAGAAACCCCTGCTTTTTGTATATTGTTTTGGTTTTAAAAATATTTTGTAATTTTCACCATTATACTTAAGTTTATAATTAAGTAGGGTTAACTTAAGTAATTGAATTCATGTTATGTTTAATTTGTTTCATTATTCATAATTTTAAAGGATGCTTTTAGCTTTGATGGTATTAAGATTCTGGTCTACCCAAAGACTCGAATTGCCTGAATCTTGTCTACCTTCACTCTCCTAACTCATTCAATAAATTGTGAGATCTAAATCGTTCTGCTTCTTATGACACTTAAACAAATTAAAAGCATTTTTTAAAAATACAGGTATGCAAAAAAATGAATCATGGTCAATCCTGGCCCATCCAGGGATGATCATTGTTCAAAACTTTCAGTGTATGGGTATATACCCTTGTGTGTGTGTGTGTGTGTGTGTGTATGTATGCACTTATGTGCATATTGATGTTTTTATTTAATATAAAATATAATAGTTAGAATTAGCCTTCTTTTTCCTTTTAATTTTAAATTAAAATTATTTCACATATTTAGAATTGAAATTTCCATGGCCCTTCATTTATTGCCTTGAATGGGTACCAAACATGGACAAATAAACACTTAGGGTATTTTAGGAAGCAATGTGTATTATAAAACTAAGAGTATCTGGGCTGGGGTTGTAGCTCAGTGATAGAGCGCTTGCCTCACATGTGTGAGGTACTGGGTTTGATTCTCAGCACCACATAAAAATAAATAAATAAAATAAAGGTATTGTGTCCATCTACAACTAAAAATATTAGATTAAAATAAAAGAAAAACTAAAAGTATTTGTAGTTGAAGTGACAGGTAATTGTTTTTTTTTCCTTTATGGGATTAGTTTTCATTTTCTTAATTATATTGAATCACTTGTATCTTTTAAATTTTGTGTTTTGGTTTCTTCTACAGCAATAGTTCCTAACTACCTTGAATGCTAATATCTGAGAGAGAAGAAAGTACCAAATCTATCATCATAAACTGGCTTGAATCAAGAAGGAAAAAACAATCTCTCAGCTCTGTTGTCACTACTAAAGGGTTGAAACTATGAAAAAAATAAATCACCTTGCCCAAAATCTCCTGAGTTATGTACTATATTGTCTCTGTGTTTTCAGGACCAGTTTTTACTTTATCTTTCCTAACTTGCCTGCAGAAGTGGCTCTAACTCAGGTGAGAAACAGCCTAAGACTCTCATCCTCTGATACTAACAAGACCTATCCATCCTCACAGCCCAAGGGCAGAGTGTAGGCTCTTTT